ACTGAAGCACTGAAGATGTTACTCAGCCGGGTAATGAAAACGTTCGCAAGAAAAGAACCAAGCTCAGAGAACCCCAAGGACTCCACAGTTCAACCAGCTACACATATTTGCCTCTATTGGTTCTCTCTCTCTCTCTTTCTCCCCTCCCCAAATATCCTTTAATGACTCCATCCATGGATTATTGTCTTTAAACGTTAAGTTTTCCTCACTTGATGCCATATACATCACATCATGAGAATATCCACAAATCAGGTTGCCTTTGATCACGTAACACTGCTGGCTGTAATTGACCCAATTGTTACTTGCCAGCTATCACTTGATTCAGCAGAGATTTAACTTGGAGACATTTTTTAGTCAGTCATCATGTTTTAATGGATTAATCCAACCAATTGACTAAAAGCTACAGGCAGGACTCTGTCCACAAAGGCAGCAATTTCACACAGTGAGGTTGTCAACAAATAAAAACAGATAAATTAAGTGTCAGGGATATTTCTATATTCATTCTGTCCTGTGGGACCTCCAGATACTTATGGACTACAATAGCTATCATGGTTGTTCAGGGGCATTTGCACAGAGAGATTAAAACAAGTCAAGATGGCAGCTGCAACCTCATGATTGAAGCCTCTCCTCTTTTACACACACAAAAATGGGGTGGGGCTCTGGTCATGAAGCCACCACCTTGACTTTTTCTTAAACCTCTTCCTCCACAGAGACCTCTATAGCTGTTCATTCTCTATGCTGGCTGGAGCTAATGGGAGTTGGAATTCAACAATATCCCCAAAGCCACAAATGTTCTCATTCAGATGAATAGTTCTGTGGTTTCACTACTGAACCCACTACTAATTTTACTCTTAATGTTTCAGAATGTAAGATGTTAAGAGTTTGACATATCATTTAACTTGTGACATGTTCAGGTATGGTTTATGTTATCTCCAGTCCTACAGTGCAGTGGGGGGAACCCTACAAACTATCCCCATTGGCAACGGAGTCGCAAGTTGTGGTCTTTTCCTGGCCTGTTGCCTGGACTCCCTTTAACTGGAGGGAGGAAGGATGGCCTGATTCACATAACTTGCTAAGAAAGTGCCTTGGTTCCCATGACATGCTAAACCATAAATTATCCATTTTAGTCTAATCTAGCATATTGTGTGATCTCAAGAACGTTTTATGAAGAGCATCATCCCTCTCCAGAATACCAGCTTGTCTACTAAACATATCCATGATTTTGAGTTGACCCTAATCACTAAAAAAAAAAAGATAGTGAAACTATTTAGCATTTAATGTTTAAAGCCATTTACATACATATACTTTCTAGTATTTTTTTTCCCCAAACTTCCCTGTGAGATGGGGCGCTTCTAAAACCTATATTGGATCAAAGAAATTACACTAAAAAAAAATACATACAAAAATAAAAGAGATGCTGTACCAATTTCTATAAACTATAGAATATAGAATTTGATACTGCAGCTGATGTATTTTCAGTATTATTGTTCCCATAGTGAGGAAGGAGGAAGGTTTTGGACAAGAGTTGAAGTCATGCTATAGCTAACTCACTGGTTCATACTGGAGGTGAGATATTACCAGGAACTTTCTGAGACTCAACTTATGCATCCTTCACATATGGCCATTACATATCAGAGGTAGGGAAATTTCCAGCACCTCTCATCATTAGCTATGAAGCAGTGGTCCAGCAGCATCTGAAGGGACACAAATTCCCATATAAAGGTACTTCTGACCAATGTTGGAAATGTGAAAAACATGAAGGGTCATTTTACCATGCATGGTGGATTTGCAAAACAGCAAAAAATATTGGATACAAAGACTTATAATGATACAAAGAATTTTAAAGACTAATATTCAGATGAAACTAGAACTTTTTTTACTGGGGCTTATGGATAGCCAATTAGAAAAGATTTATGGAAGATTGGTTTTATATATGGCAACTGCAGCTAAATTATTATTTGCACAAAGATGGAAAAATACTGAAATACACATAATGGAGGAGTGGATTGTGAAGATGGTGGAAGTGGCAGAAGTGGCAAAATTGACTTGTTTGATCAGGGATAAGACAAGGACTTTTATAAAAGACTGGAAACCTCTTACAGATTTTTTTTTTTCTGAAAATGGAAAAAAATAAACTGGTGATTTTTGGATTTGCTGATTAAAAAGGGTTGAATTTGGGAAGAAGGGAATCACGCAATGTAATTTAAAGAGGGAGGAGAGGCAATAAGTTTGTAACTGCTGGAAAGGAGTTTGGAAGTTGCTTCTTTATATATCTTTGCTTTTTTTCTATCTTTCCCACTTTTTCATTTTTCTTTTTCTTGATCTCACTTTTTATTATTTCATGTTTATCTTCTACTTATGTGAGAATTTCTAATAAATTTATATATATAAAAAATGAAGGGACACGAGTTCCCTGTAATATATCAAAAGGAAAGCAAACTTTAAGTGCTAAAATCTGTCCTCTAATTTCCCCCCAGTTTCCTTCTCCTGGAAAAGAGGCTTCTGTTTTTCTGCCTTATAATTTCTGCCTCATGCTAAGGAATTTATTTCTTTTGAGACATTTTTAGTGTACTTAATTTTACAAAGCGGCAGTTAGTGGTACTTTTTCTCTGCTATTATCTGTATCTCCATTATTCCACAGCATCTCTGGCTGCCCCTTCTTCTTAATCTGAAAAAGCTCTATGGAAGGAGTTTTCCTCTACAGTCTTTGCCCGATTTGACTTTGAGCAATATGATTGAAGCATGGGAAGCCAGAGAGGGGGAGACATGGCTGTGCAATGAAAGTCAGAGCACACACAAACACATCTCAGGCATCTCACAAAGTAAATATAAAGACACAGCACCTCAGCCATGAGAAGTCTACAAAATGTTCTTCTCCCTTGGGAAAAAATTTGAAAGCCATTTCTCTCCCATCAAACAGAAGAAGGAGGATTGGAGGAAATGCAGAAAACATTTTCATCACAGGAATAATTGGGCCACTTTAAAACTTATGGGAGAGCAATTAAAGTATACTTTGCTACTGAGGTATTTACGTTTGATGGGTCTGAGGAAGTTTTTCTAAGGAGCACTGTCCTGATTGTGTAGCTTTTCCTTAAGACCCATTTCTGTCCTCCAGAGCTCTTCCTGTGCTTTGTGGTACGTGTCATTCATTTGCAATATAAACATGCAAAATCAGATGAAAGAAAGTTAATAAAAATCTCTGATTCACTTCTAGAACCTATCAAATTGTTTTAGTCCCACCATCTTTCAGCTATCTCTTCTTCATCTTTCCTAGGTAGCCTCATTGTTCCTTTCCTAGTAACACACGTCATCCCAGCTGCTTGATTGAAAGGAATGTAATTTTCTGTTATGTTACAATTAAAGGCATGCTGCATTCATGTGTGTGTGTGCGTGTGTGTGTGATGTGTTAGGATTAGGGAGCCTGTCAGTTTGCACAAAGGTCTTGCTTTAAATCTTTAAAGCCACAGCAAACTGAGTCCTCAGTGTGAGTGAAGCAGAAGCATTGTTGTATGTGTAAAAAGATGGAGAGTTAAATTCTATTTCAATTCAGTAGCGCCCATGCCTCACCCTGTTCTCCCTCTGCTGTTGCCTTATCCATGCATTGACCATTCTGCAGGGGGGGGGGGGGAGTTTTTTTGAATTTTCCCCAAGTACAACAATTGGGCGGGGAGTTTCTGTGGGTTTTACACAGTGGGAGTCAGAGCCATCCAGCCATGTTCATAATCTCATGCTGGCAGGGTCCATATGGCATGATGGATGCAAAGCCCCGCTAGCTCTTGATCTCCTGTTCTTCAGACCCATCTTGCTCCAATTCTTCCTCATCTGACTGCACCACAGGAGTCTCTGCTCCTTCTTCACTGGTGTCCAGGCTATTCAGGTCTGTAGAGGCAGATGATGTGGACGAAATTCGTGATTTGACCTCAGCTGTATTGGGCACTTGCAGAGAAATGTCTTCCTGGAAGTGGTTAGAATCTGGGAAAGGAGACGGACAAAAAGGAAAGAAGGAAGAAATGAGATTATTGGCACTTGGCTCACTCTGTTCTATTACTGTATATCCTGGTGTCAGCCCTCAGGGATAAGTGAATCTACAGTAATGTATCCGCTTTTTGCAGCTGCTGTATGTTGCAATTGATTGGCCAAACTTGAGAATTCTACATTAAAATTTCTGTATTTTAATACAGAACTGTATTTCTGTAAACAAACATACATACTTCTTTTGTCAAATTAACCTACTGAACACACTATCTGCAAATAATTTCCTAGTGTATTTTATTCTTTCATAAACATCTACAACTTTGTGCAGACCTTTTGCTTAGCAACTTAGAAACAAATTTGTTGGTAAACTGCCTGGTAAAATTTAGAAAAGTACAAGTTTTGAATAACAAAATTTATGTGTGCTGCTTTAAAACGCAAAATTAGGTAAGTCTGCATTGAAATTTAAATTATAATTATTTTTCAATTTTTGTACATGCATATATTCATGAAAACACAAAATTCACTTAAGTTCTTGTTCAAATGCTATCCCATCCTAAAAGATTCTATCACATCATCTAGCAGAAAGTATAGTATGAAATTCTAAGTATTGCTGCAGTTTTTCAAAGACATGCACTGCTTATTGAAATCAGTTAACAGAGATATATACACCAGGCTACAGAAAATGCAAAATCCACTAGATTTTATCACTGCATCACCAGAGTTGTACAAAATAACACGTTCTGGACCTAAATGTGTTGCATGTAAACTCTCTTTTTTCTCACTCACAAAGATACAGAATTGTACACACAACAAAAATACCATTTTAGGTCAGAGAAGTTCAAACTTCATTCCTGCTGAAACCCTTATTCAATAATCAAACCATCTCCAACAAAAACCCTTGCAGACTGCATAGAATTCAATGGTATATGTCGCTCCAGATGATTACACACTATAGGGAATATTATGGCCTATCCATTAAACTATACGCACATGTGCAGAGAAGCTACCCAGTTCCACAGACTGAGCTGATCTTTCTTTGCAGTCACCCTGCAGATAATGTGTAGTGGATGAGGGCCCCTTTTCTCTAGTTCTGCATAACCCTTCACCATGCCAGAAGAATCCATCATAAGCAGCCTTTTCAGGCATCTTGTTATAACTGATCTAATTTAAAAATATTATAAACACTAACATCTTTGGATATGTTCTGGCTATTAGACTACACTGTTTAGAATATAAATCACAGAACGTAATCTGAGAAACAACAGTGAGAGAGTTTCCCTGCTTAAGCATTCTGCGGTGGTCCAAAACATGATGGCCATGTATTCCAATTTGGTGGAAGGTGTGCCTACATCTTGCTTAGCAGGTTTAGTGTACTGTTTGAATTATGAAGGTGCATTATTTTTATTATTTTATTATATTTATTATGGCATGACTTCAGTCAACATAAGTTGTTCAGGAAGTGCCTTAGTATAGATGCTGACTAGAGACTTGGATGAAAATGCTCTTGAAGGATTGCAGCACCAATACATCCCCTCATATTTGTTATAAAAAATCAGCCCTGTAGGATCTTGCTTTAAGATGAAAGAAAAGGAAAACATTTGTCAGGTCCTTGCAGTAGGCCAGGTTAAGAAACATGCACTGCAGGGATTCCAGGAATGCTACTTTACTGTGTAGGGATATTAACAGATTCTTGAAAGTCTGTCCAAAATCTTCACTGTCCCACTGTCAATAAGATCAAAGTGGGGCCGGGCTATATCTTTCTCATTCTTTCCACTTTCCCAGGACTAAGCAACCATTTTCCCTCTCCACCTTCTTTTCAAGGGCAGAGCTAAATTCCTCTACAACATGTTTCTGACTCCTCCTGGAGGAAAATTTGCAAATATGTGGGAGGTATCTGGGTAAACATTCCAGAGTCCAAATAGGTGGCGATTATTATGTGCCATTTCTCTCCCTTCTTACATTGTCTACATTCTGCTTCTCTCCCTCACTTCCTCCAAACAGTAAGCAAATTATACAAAAAGTTATATTTCAAAGGCAGGATACAATAGTTACTGTAATTATACAGTAGAGGATATGGAATTGTACTGATCTCTCCTAATATTTCCTGTTTGCTGAAGTGATGTTATACTGATGGAAAACTTGCTCCCCAAGTTGCCATAAGGTTCGGATAGCTCAAAATAACATTTAGTAAGCGTCCCCATCAATGACTGTTAGGATCTAATTGGCTAATGAAACATTAGGAAACATGCTGATGAGTATGTGACCCACTGACCTATTGCGTGCAGGGGCAGGTGAAGCCAATGACCATGTAACTTTCCACTCAGAGCTGGGCTGCTGCTTGGACTAGATCTTATCCATGAATGAAGTTTGAGCTTGTCATTATGCAAAACACATGCTTTACATTCCTTCTCCATCTTTGGCCACAGGAGCTTTTGGGCCTGGCTTGTAAATATCACAGCCTGGAGATTTCATCAGTGAGGCTACTTAACTGGAATGTGGAAGGCTGTGCTGGTAAAATGTTTGAATCACTCTCAGGGTGAATCACTGTGGTATAGCTGAGGTCAGTGCCCTTCAGCACAAAACCGAGGGTCTCCTGGCATTAGAGGGAAGATGGGGTCAGCTTTCAATCCCAGCATTTAAAAAAGCCTTTAATCTACACAAATTCAGAAGTATTTTGGAGATGTTAGCAATGCTGACTATCTAGGCACATCTAATCAAAGTGATTAGATGCTTTGATTTTTTAAATTTCATTTTTACATAATTTTAAGGTTTTCATTCACTATACAAGCATTCAGTAGAATAGAAGCACAATGATATCAATGCATCACAACATATTACATTATATGTGCATAATTTGCATAATTTGCATGATGATGTCTTGTTGTGCATGATGCCCATACTCCCACCCATGGTGGGAAGCAATCTGTGGCCTTCCAGATGTTGCTAAACTATAGCTTCAAACGTCCCTTACCACTGACTGGAGCTGCTAGAAGTTGTAGTTCAACATCTGGAGCATCACAGAAATCATCCTTGAACTGATGGTGGCAAAGGGTATTTAACTTCAGAAGGAGTGTTTTATATGGATCAGGAAATATAGCCAGCCTGCTTTATCCAACTCCCTTGTCATATTGCTATTATTCTATTTCATGAAATGAGATTAGCCAGGGCCACAGAGTGATGGAATGAAATATGTGATAGAATATGGTCCCTCACTGTAAAATAAGCTTGGCTTAAGATATCTAGAATTCTAAGTTATTAACTGGTAAATGCAGCAAAGAGTAAACAACACTAAGCCCCTTCTAACAAGGTTGCCACATGACCAAAATACACATACAGAGTTTACTCCTGTGCATTTATCCATAGCTTGATTTGAATGAAACCAGTTAATTTAGTTATTCACAAGAGTATTAAGTCACATGGCCTTTTACTACTGAAGATGCAGAAACAGAGGGCTAGAGAAATACAGGCAACTCTATTAGAAATCTAGTATTCTGAGATTCATCAAGGGGAACTTGGCTGTGTCCTTGGAGCAGTTACTTCTTTTCATAAATTTCAGACATTGTTATTTATGCAAACGTAGAAAGAGAAGAGTAAGGAAAGCACTGTTGCCTAGCAACAAGTACGTGGTTGTTAAGCAACAGCTTCCCTGCACTTTCCATTGCCCATTCCTCAGAATAAACATCACTGTGGTTTACAAAAAAAACCCCAAAACCAGGAGAGAAAATGTGATAAGTAGAAAGCCAGAGAGAAGAAGACTAGGTACTATAAAAGCAGTTCACAACGTGCAGAGAGCAGACTGTGGAGGCATGCAAGTCACTTCTATCACCAGACTGGTTGCTTTTCTGTTTAAATTTTGAACAGCAGATCCAAATGGCCCAAAGCACCCGTTTTCTAACCCAAACAGAGCTGTTTCTATCTTGAAACAGTTCCAGCAGAGTCAGAACAATCCGTTTTGAGCTTCAAAAGAGCAGGGTTTTTTTCCTTCAAGATGTTGAGCTTGACACGTTTCTGCTCTGAAACATTTTACACACCTCTCTGTGCAGCCTTCCACTTCAGGACACAAAACAAGCTCAGACCTGTGGCAGATTCACTCTGCCCTCTTGGTACCAGAGTGGGCAAATCCACACTTTCAACACTGAGGGCACCCTGGCTGCCTTTGCTACCCCACCCCCTTCTTTAAGCTGGCTGCTTTGCTTTATCCAAGACCAGCCAGGCAGCAATAGGATGCATCTGCCACAGGGGCCTCCTCTGTTGCCAGAAATTTTTCAGGGGGTCTTGTCTTAAAAAGCCCAGAAGGGGTTCCTCCAAGCTGATACCATACGTGGCCAGAAACTGTACTGCTCACTTTTTAACAAGTTGTATTTATTTTATTTATTTATTTACAAGGCTTATAAACCATTCCAACTGAAGCCAACTCTGAAAGGGTTTCAAATGCTCACTGAGCCTGACCACTAACACAGAGATGTCATAAGAATGGTCAGGGCAAAAATGTTTAATCTAACTTAGGGGTTCAATTTATGGAGTGAAATAAGCGTATTAGGCCTAAGGGGACCATACTGCTCCTGTTTTGCCCCTTATTTTGCTCCAAAACCCCTACTCAAGGTGGCAACAATCTTGCCACCCGGCGAGCTGCAGATGATCTGGGGATCAGAATAGAGCTAGGGGACTTGTTACAGGTCCATGAATTGGCCACTCCTGCCTTAAACCAGGATTCCTTTTGCTAAGGTTCAGGAATGGACAAACAGATATCCAAATCTTATCAGTGGGACTCGTCTTGTCTTGTCTCGTGTCAGAAATGCAGGAACTAGAAAGGAGATAATTATTAATCTAAATTTTAAAAACTAAAAAACTTTAATAAAAATATAAATTTATATAATTCTTGCCCAATGCCGGGCCACGTTAATGGCAAAGGTATTTCTGACCAGCAAGTCATTCTGTGTGCATGTCGGTCCCAAAGGGCACTGTAAAAGATGGATAGTTGTTTGAATAGCGCCACATTCACAGTAAATATCCTTGTCCTCAGAAAGAAACCCCCATTTTTCCATTTGATCATTAGTTCTACCCAAGCCAGTGTGCAGTCTATTTAAACATCTCCAAACCATCCGCTCCTCCGAACCTCCAGGCAACTCCTCTAGTGGTTCTATCCAATCATAAAGATGTTTTGCTTGGGATTTCCATCTTCTTAATCATTCTGTTTGAGGTGTGGAAACAATCTCCTCAGCGCAATCTAAAAAACTCCTCCTTGATTCCAATCTTTTTGTGGGAGGTACTTGACCAAATAATGGGTGTGCTGGATCATGTAACACCTTTCCATATTCCACGCCTTGTGCTACACTCCTTCTAACACCTGGTGGGGATATTCCTGCCAAGATATACAGTTTATCAAGTGGAGTGGGGCGCAAACATCCAGTAACAATGCGACATGTATCACTAAGCGCCCTACCCACATGTATAGAATGCGCAGACCGGCCCCAAACAGGGCAGGCATACTCTGCCGAGTAACACAATGCAAGGGCAGCCATATGTAGCGTGATAGGGTGGGCACCCCAGATAGTTCCAGCCAACTTTCCGAGGAGATTATTATGGGGGCCAGGAAGGAACCTCCAAGTGGTGCCTCTGGTAACAGCGAATTTATTTTTTTTGCTGGCCAATCCTTCCAACCCAGAATGCAGGAAATGTCAGTGGGACTAAGAAAGCCAATTGTTTCCTTAGGCCTTAATCTATACAAATGTCTGTGATGCTTCACGTTTAAATAGAATGTCAAAATTATCCATTGCCAACAGCATATCCATTGTCTTTGGCGCTTATTTCATTATTTATTTCAATTTTGTTGTATTCAGATTAACACAGAAGGGGGCAGATATGACAACAGGGAAGTTTTTCAGAAGGAATAAAGAATACGTATGTGGTAATAGGAAGTACTCAAAAGTTTGGAGCAAATAAAGTATGGCCTGGAGATGTATATTTTTCTGTAGGAAAGAAAGAAAAAAAGAGGAGTTTCTTTGTACTAATAGCAGAGCGTTAGTTAGTGTTGTGATGTTTCTGAATTAACACAGAGGTATATAATGCCTTCTGGGTTTAAATTAGTTTACATGATTTGAATTTTTCAGCTACAGTTGGGAACTTACAAATCAAAAAAACTTAAGTCTTATCCAGTGGCCATTTGAAAATTTGTTTCGGGTTATGACTTCGCCTCCCAAATCAACACTCCTGTTAAGAAGCAATAACAATCTCACTTGAAAGGAACATGCCTGGACATAGAGTTTGTTTGGTTGACCCTGTTTGGTACCATAATTTTCAATGCATTATAAAAGAGTGGTTTCATTGTATACCAATCCACTTATGAATATGTTTCTTGGTATCTCTCTGATTTCTGCCTCACCTGACTTTAATTTTAGAAAATAGAGCAAGAGAATGTGACAGAACAAAAAAACCAGTATTATTTTTAAGTTTCTATCTCTCATGGTTGCAGAAAAAAGTACCAATGAAAGCAGAGCCATAGGCTTAGAAGATAGATTAAGATGGTACTCCTAATGACCATGATGCCAGGATTTTGCCTAGCTGGCCATCTCTCTTCTGCTATCAGCCCTTCGAGGTAGACCAGACTAGGAAACCAAAGTCAAGAGTGATAATACTAAATTTATTATAAGGTTATAGTAACAGAATCTTTCAAGTCTTAATGTGCCTCCCTCCCTCCCTCCCTCCCTCCATTTATCTTCAACAGAATTAGGGGATGTCAAGTCTGAGATGCTTTCTCAAATTACATTTCTGCTTGGGACTCAAATTTCTTTTGTCTAACGGTTGCTTGGTTGTGGCCCTTCCTGTTCCTCAAAGGTTATTCATGCTGCCCATTACATCTGCGTCCATATTAATTTCTACACTAATGCCCATGCTGGATCTGTGTTGGTAAACTTCGTATGCCCAAATACTTGGCTAAATTTCCAACCTTTTCCCTGAACAAAGAGTTTTGCTATAACATATCCCAGATGGAACACAGGCCAACAGTTGACACGGATAGTTATGAAAGTTATACATACCTGGCAGTAGGGTAGCTACATTGTTGTTGTCCTCTGTCCCACAGCTAAGAAATACATCAACAGTGTCTTGGTCAGAGAGATCCAACATGTCCATCTGTTCCAGCATGTCCACATTGACCTCCATGGAAGAAATGCTGCCTAGGGGAGCTGGAAAGATGTGGAAACTATCAGAGGTCATACCACATGAAGAACTCTCATTATTGCACAGGGGAATATAGCCACACCTACACCCAGCTTGATAAATGCTTACACCTACACCTATTATGGCAGAAATGGATCTCCATTTCATAGCTTGCTGCCCAAATTAGTCACAAATAAATTACAGACTTATTGATTTTTCTCACACAATAATACAGAGCTTTCCCATACTCTCATTCATTGTTTATAGCAGGGCCAGCATCCTTTCCTGGAGCCTGGGGACTAAATTGAGGTGCACAATGATGCAGAGAAGGCAAGGCTGTATCATGTGTATGAGCAGGACCTGGTTTCTCTGTTTTTTTTCCCTCCCCCTCTGGGATTTGTGTGTGGTATTGCTTTGTTATTTTAACAGCACTGAGCCTATTTGAAGACATATGCTATTATTTTTATGTGTTTTCAGTCTCAAGATGGGAAAAAGCTGTCTTGCTGCTGAAAAACAGTGGTACAATTGAAGGGGCTGCAAGATGTCACAAAAAGGGGTTTGGAATGGCATGCAAGCCCTTGGTGATGCAAGTTGCCCACCCTTGGTCTATGAACTTGACCCCTGAACTTACGTCTCCTGTGTTCTATCTGCAGGTGTGATACTGGGAAGAAGAAATCAACATCATGCTGGAAAACTTCCTCAAAGAATCTCTGTCTTTCCCAAAGTTTGAGCTGCTGTTGCTGCATCTGCTCTGTGTCCAGACCCCGCTGCCCATTTTCAATATCAGCTGAAATGGAACCAGAATGAAAAGTTGAAATACAGAAATCGGTGTTCTCATCTGTTCCTTTCAGAAGCGAAAAATGTCCATGACAACATGCAGGGTAGAAACACATTTCTTTAAAGAGAAATGCAAATGATTTGAAAGAGGTTTCACTTCTGTGGATATTTGCATGGGGCAGGGAGTTGGACTAAAATTATCTCCAAGATCCCTTCCCATTTTTACATACTTTCATGCAGGGTTATATGGTTCCAATAGAAGATAATATATGTAGCTCAGGGTTGAACTATCAAGTCTTTGGTGCTCTCTGAGCTTGGTTCTTTGCTTGCAGATGTTTCATTACCTGACTAGGTAACATCATCAGTGCTAGTGAGTGTGGGGTTTTCTCCCTGTTTATATACAGTAGCTTGCCTTGCCAGTGTTGGTGGGGGTCTGGTTCTCCTTGGTAGCTTCTTGATTAGAGTGTTGTTTTCTGCTTCTTTATCTGGTGTTAACCCCTGCTTATTTGGGTGTTGATTGCTGGAGAAGATGTGTTCTGGCCTTTTTCTTTCCTTCTTAGCTTTTTTATTGTCTCTTTTGAATGGTGTGGTTTATCTCTATGTGTCTATTGATGGCTGATTTGTCTGAATGCCAAGCTACCAGGAATTCCCTAGCGTTTTTTGGATTTAACTTGGTCAAGGATGCTCACAGTTTCCCTTCTGTGAACTGGAGGACAAAGAAGCCTACATCCCAGGAAACACCAACCCAATACAGAAACTAGACAACCTCATCAAGATCAAGAGAACCCTTAATGACCTAACAAAGAAAGGTCAGATCACAAAAGAAGAACAGTGGGTGAATGAAAAGCAGTGGACCCAACCACCCATGCTTCTATAGAGCCCAAAAATAACAAGCCCAACATACCTCTTTGTCCAATTGTATCATTACCAGGGACCCAACATACAATACAGCCAAAGAACTTACAAAAAAGCTTGGATGCCTCACAGAGGAGAGTGAATATTCTATCAACTCTCCACTACAGTGCCTCCAGAAAATCAAAAACCTAGAAGTAGATGAAGATGAAATTATGGTTTCATTCACTGTCACAGCACTCTTTACATCCATAGATTCAGAATTAGCAAAAGAATCCATGGCAGCAGTACTACACAATACACCCGACTAGCCAAATACACTAAGATCAAAATACCCTGAATCATGGACCATATCAACCTCTGCCTCACTACCTACTTTCAGTTTGATGGACAATTATACCAACAAATCAGACCCATGGGACCACCACTCTCAGGACTCATAGCAGAGACTGTAATGCCGCATCTAGAAACTACAGCACTTCCACACATACAACCAAAAGTATGGATCTGGTATGTAGATGACACCTTTGTCATAATAAAAAAGGAACAACTAGAGTAGACACATGAAACAATCAACTAAATCTTCAAAGGGATAAAATTCACAAGGAAAGAAGAAAACAACACCACACTACCTTTCCTGGACATCCTCATCAGCAGAGGAAACAACAGCAAATTAGAAATGCAAGTCTATCAAAAACAACCCACACTAACCAAGTTTCCATACCAAAGTAACAACCCAACCTCCCACAAGAGGGAGTAATGTGTAAGAATTTGTATTCAGATGAGTACAAATGCACTGCAGCAACCCAGATGTCAGGTTCAGCCCAAGAACAACAACGAAGCAATCCAGTCCAGTCCAGTTCCTTTATTAGCTTGTACCTAATAGAATCTCGCCAGACTAAACCTATGCTAAAGCAACTAGTGGATATACCCCATGAGACTCTCGGGAGGGGTTAGCTTCATCCTCTTACTCTTCCCACGGTCTTGCTGTGGACTGAGAAAGCGCTTGCTCTGGAATGTTCCCCCTCCCTCCTGATAACCTTGATCCTTCATTCCAGTATCTTCCTCACTCAAGCCTTCCATTACACCAGAACACCAGAAAAAGGAATAGACGCCTATACAACACATCCCAACAAAATGGATACCCATGCAACTATCAAAAAGTGCCTGATCACTCAAACCACTACCGCACAACCAAAGGATAACACTGCCATACATCAAAAACATCTCAGAAACAACGAACAAATTACAGCCACATGGCATCACTGTAGCAACCAACTAAAGCCCTCCAAAACATCTTAAGTACACCAAAAGACACAGTAGCCCAAGGAAAAAAGAAATAGGAATCATCTACAACATATGGTGTTAGGACTGTAACAGCCACTATGTAGGACAGACAGGCAGAAGACTAGCAGAGCACATCCATGAACACCAAGTAGCAGTCAGAAGACACAATGAAAACTTAATCTCACAACACATGAACAGACTCAGCCATAGTTCCAACTGGGAAACTGTGAGCATCCTAGGCCAAATTAAATCCAAAAAATACTAGGGAATTCCTTGAAGCTTGGCATTCAGACAAATCAGCCATCAATATACATATAGAGATAAACCACATTTACACAACATTCAAAAGAGACAATAAAAAAGCCAAGAAGGAAACAAAAAGATCAGAACACGTCCTCTCCAGCAGCCTACACCCAGATAAGCAGAGATTAACACCAGACAACTTGCCCTAATCGCAACATACCTGTACTCTAATCAAGGAACTACCAAGGAGAAAACCACACTCATATCAACACTGGCAGGGCAAGCTACTGTATATGAACAGGGAGAAAACCCCACACTCACTATCACTGATGATGTTACCTAGTCAGGTAATGAAACGTCTGCAAGCAAAGAACCAAGCTCAGAGAGCACCAAAGACTCAAGGGTTATGTGGCTTTGCCTTATTGTCACTTCCTGTCAAGCAGGAACAAAGCCCAGTAAAGCGTGTTTACTAGTGGTGAAAATGAGAAGACTTACTTTGTAACAAGTATTAATTATTTTCTCTTTTCAAGCTACCTTGAATTCTGTGAAGAAAGCAAACCCAACAATTTCTGCCTTGCCAAACCACTACACTGCCTCCTGCTATATGAACTATACCGTGATGTGAGATGATGCAAACCAAAGAGAGGGCAGGCTTATATTTTGACTTCTTCTCTTTCCAAAATCTCAAATAATTTATAATCCTTTCTAGAATGTATTTATAGTGCAACGTAGTTTACATCACACAGTTGCTGTGAAGAAAGAAATACTGCTTTCATTGCTTTGAGCTCTTGGATGAAAGGTGGGGTAGAAATGCAACAAACTATACAAACCTCCTATTTATGAAGATGAAAAAAAAAATTAACAATTTGCACTACTCATTCCCAAACAAATTAATTTTGTGAGATACATATGTGCCAGAAAACAATATGGAAAATAGTTATCAAATTTCCTAGGTTGCAGGAATCAGCAAGAAAGGCTACTTTCAAAATGACACATCGATTATTCCTTTTGATTCACTAAACCAAATAAAAGATCAAAAGACATTACTTCCGAAGGATGCTGATAAAAACTGCCTCTGAAGAGGATGTATTTGGGGGCAGATTCAATCATTGTCCAATATGAAACCATTTTGACATGCTGGGAAGAATCTTTTTTATTCCATTCTTCCCTTTTGAGCTCTATCAACTATCCATTCATCATCTATCTATCTATCTATCTATCTATCTATCTATCTATCCATCATCTATCCATCCATCCATCCATCCATCCATCCATCCATCCATCCATCCATCCATCTATCTATCTATCTATCTATCTATCTATCTATCTATCTATCTATCTATCTATCTATCTATCTATCTATCTTCCTTCTGTCTACCTATCATCTATCTTTCAAAAAATAATTTGGTTTCATTTACTTCTAATCCATCTAATGAAATCTACAATAAAAAAATAAAATATAACAGATAAATAGCACAAGAAAAGTATAATTATTTAAATTCATTATTTCAGGATAGGGGGGTCTTTGTGGGCTGCAAATACCTGGAGTACCAATCAGCTGTTGCACAGCTAGTGTAGCAGCAAAAGCTCTGGAGTTAGCAGCGGCAGTGGGCAGTTCTAAATTTACTAGTTTTTAAAAAATGATGGGCCACACAAGGCTGCTTGGGGGCGATATGTTGTGCAGGCCTGCTATAGACTGAAGCATCCTGTAAATGAAGACACTTTGATTGGATGCTTAGTGCAAAATATGAACTGAACTACTGGAATTTATAATCCATGGCTTGCAATTGTAGTTTATTTATTAACCTGTGGTTGAACAAACCTTGGCTTAGTGCACTGCATAAATGAAGTCTATAAGTCAGCAGATTATTGCCTCCGTTGGCTTTCCCTCTCTTCTTGTCTTGCCCCCTTCATTATATAATGGTTTATACTTCAGATTTCTTAAAATTCAAAGGAAAAAGGTTTCTTTCCTTCTCCCATCATCATGAAAGCACCATTTTCTGTCTCTACTGCCAAATCTATAATTAACTTAAAAACAAAAACAAAACTATGTGAACATTTCAATACAAGACATGCTTTCACATATTTGTTAAGATGTTAAATTTAAATCCCTACTCAACCATGGAACTCATTCTGTGCCTTTAGGTCAATCAACGTAAGCAACAGTTTGGTCTACTTGGAATTCATTTAACATGTGTGAATCCATCTATTCTAGTTTGCTAGCTACATTTTCTGGCTCAGTGCAGTTTGAGAATAAGATAGTCACTGTGTCTTATTGAACAAAACATAGTCAAAAGAAACCATGATTTAACATATGCAAATTCAGCAACCATCTCTCTGCCCAACCTGAGAGGACTGTAGCTGGAAGGATAAAGTGAGAGGAAGTCCTAGTGAATATTGACTTGAGCTCCCAGAAGAAAGTGGGAACATGAATAAATAGTCTGCCAATATTTAGATGCTAAACAAATTGCAAAAGCTTTGTTAAACTTTTGGCAAAAACATTTGCATATCCTCTGATGTCAGTTTAGATTTAGCAAAGCTGGTCTTAATTAGTTTTCAACATTATTAAATTCTTAATAGTGTAGTCTGCTTAAAGCTAAAAGTTCAGGTTCTGTCTAGCTTATGAAG